AAATTCGTACGATTTCGGAATCTGCGAGATTACTCATAGGAGTTCGAGTACAAAACCTACGTTTCCCACCATCTGGCCGAAGTCCGTAGAGAAGACGATGAAAGACCCGTTTATAACTTTCATTTCATGGCTTGTTAGACCAGCCTCTCAACAATGGCATATAAGTAAAATTCCCGGAGGCCTTCCGGATGGAGAAAAGAGGTGGAGATCAAACAGGACCATTGTGACCGCAACCACTCAAATTATGCTGGAGAACAAGGTGCAACTTAGGTTGGTTATATACAGAAATGTCAGCCTCCGAAACTCACAAATAGCACATTGAACCGTACTACTCTCCCGCGGAACGCGTAAAACATCAGACATATCTCTCAAGATGTAAATCGGAACAGAAGGGAAGCGAACATGAATTGACTACCTCTAGTTGAAAATAGTTCGGAATAATGCGACTTTTCAGTAGAATCAACCGATGAGAATAACGACAGCGGCACTTACTCAGCAAGTTCAGACGAGGTTGTAAAACCAGCCGATGAACGTGACAGCAAAATTAAACTGGAAATGTCTAGTGTTCTGGTCAAAGAAGTCAAAGTTGATGAAATCCATTAAAAAAGAGAACAGGGCAGTGAAAATGACACCTGTAGGGATTCAGTGCGAGCGATGATGGCGATTTTTCCAGTGCATGCAACATGTCCTTTCGAAAACTGCGATGTACTCCCTAACCAAACTCCCAAAGACGAAATCAGCAGCATACCGAAGTGTGCGCTCTAGGCCGCCTCTATTTTACTTACTACCGACCCATGTCAGGATTCCGTTCCAGCTTCTAAATGTTGGGCTCTCGCCTCGTTATCTGTTCTACCCTGGGCCTGCCACCATTGAACATGTACAGGCTTTCATCCTATCCTCATAAAGAACCTCGCGTGTTCTTTACTATCTCTTAGCGAAGAAGTTTTCCTCTTGAAAGTCTTTTCAAAACTGGCGGCTCCTTTTGGAGTTTTTTTGTATTGCCTCTCTCATTACCCGGCCTTTTTTCTAGAAACCTCAGATTTAGGAGTTGTGAATATTATTGACAAAAGTGTACGCGAAAGGTCAGATTGCCGGCGGATGTGAGAACTTTGCCAACTTTACATAGCACAATCTTTAAATTCTTCTATAAATCTGGCCACTCACACAGACTATTATTGTATAAATTGCCTGAATATTAGTAATTGTCTTAGTATTAACATGCCTTCGAAAGTGCCCTTTGGGCATTTACAAGTAAAACCATTATTATGGAAGTAGACGCTCCCCGATCGTTTTTACGGAACTCACTCGTTCCGTTGTGCTTTATGGACTGTCATCTCTCGCGCCCAACCAGCCGCCGCACAGCGGCGCATGATATAGGCAGAATGCTATTACTGACAAAGACATTCTACCATTATTATTATCGAAGTAACTGGAAATCCGACTAACACGAAATTGAGATGCTTATATACTAAGGCCCAAAGCCTATTATCCAAACTTGATGGACTAACAATCTATCTTACGAACTACCTTCAAATGTGGTATCAGTAACTGGAACCTACAGTGCGTGACCTATCTCATGAAATGTTGGCTGAAATTCTGAAATGCGTTTTCGATTAGGAAGGATTACTTGGTTGCGGTTGTGATACTGATTATCTTAAGGCATACTGTTATAACATTTTGGACTTGGCAAGATGTTGGCTTTTAAATGCACTTCTTTTCAATCTCCTGTAGAAAGCGTGCTCGGTAAAAAATGACTACTTAAGCAGCATGTATTTTTCCCATTGATTTTCGATGGTCTTGGAAATTCAAATATATTTTATAGAAACCACCAACAAAAATAGGCTTTCTTTTAGTCAGTCAATAGAGAATCACGTCTTATTTATATTTTATGCTTAAGGAAGGAGTATAATTAGGTTTTAAAAAAGTTTTCTAATTGCCGAATAATTTGGAGCCTGATCATTCGTTGCATTAGCGCTTAGTGATTAAACTCTACAAGGTGCATGCGTTCCGCGTAAAGAAAATCCCATATTTTTCTGTGTCATTAAAGAGATATCATACAGGGTCCATGAAATTTCGCAATGGATGCGGACCATGTTGTACATTTCATGAGGAGCAGTGGTAAACGGCCAGGTACGACGCTATGTGAATGGACATATCGCGGACTTAAGAAGTCTTATAATTGGAAACTTTTTTAAAACCTAATTATACTCCTTCCTTAAGCATAAAATATAAATAAGACGTGATTCTCTATTGACTGACTAAAAGAAAGCCTATTTTTGTTGGTGGTTCCTATAAAATATATTTGAATTTCCAAGACCATCGAAAATCAATGGGAAAAATACATGCTGCTTAAGTAGTCATTTTTTTACCGAGCACGCTTTCTACAGAAGATTGAAAAGAAGCGCATTTAAAAGCCAACATCTTGCCGAGTCCGAAATGTTATAAGAGTATGCGTTAAGGTAATCAGTATCACAACCGCAACCAAGTAATCCTTCTTAATAGAAAACGCATTTCAGAATTTCAGCCAACATTTCATGAGATAAGTCACGCACTGTAGCTGTCCGGCAGTATTCGTGATAGCAAAGTAGTGCTATCTAAATGCTTAACATATCGGAGGTATAGGGGACGCTGTCAGGGAATGAATTAATTGTCATGTAAAAAAAGTCTCCATAGTGTCAGAAAAGACCGACAAGTTTGCGTTAAGTACGGAAGCCGTGTGGCTGATCGTTTACGTTACTGACTCCCCGAGTTTCGATAAGCTCACTGTCTATCGACCACGCGGGACAGGACCCCTTGGCAAAACCCATTTACTGGAAGTGTCAGAGAGGTTAGTCCGTAGACATAATAATTCAGTATTTTTCATGTGATTCAGTATATAAAAGAAGGATAGATGGAGCCTTTGAGATTTCTATTAACAGATTTTTGGCAAAAACTACATAGGTTGACGTAGCTATATGGCATCATTGTATCAGTCCTTGTCAATTAAATAGGTGGCCAACAAGTAGAATGCCTTCAAGTCTAAATGTCTACATGCTTTACTCCAGAACAACTAAATTAGCTAACTCGTTCCACGTTTCAACCATCAACTTGGAGAATATGTTATTTTGTTATTCAAATGCTCTAATTGTAACGATGGCTCCGAGATTTGTCGTTTTTGTCACTTTAAAAAATTAGCCAATTAAAATGCAGTCTAATCTGACAAGTTTGATGGCCATGGTCATATCCCCTATGATCTAAGTGGAAGAGACAGAACGAACTGTAAGCCTTTCTAATTGTCCTTCATAAGGCAGACACTTCAGTATATGGACTAGTTTGGGTGTGGACGTCATCCACACACCTAAGTCCCTTAACTCGTTTACAGTCTCGTGATGGTGACGTCCGCCGAAGTTCTGATCTTCAAATTCCAGCGTCTTTCTGTGACTAAACCCTGGTCGGATGACTTGATATCTGATGAAATAAAGTAAAGGTAGTCACCTCTTACATCGTTGTTGCAATCGATTCAAGTTGCCTTTACAAGTTCGACGCATTCTCTGACTTATCTATCAAGTTTCTTTGCTTCAGGTCACTGGCGGACGTTGCTTTCTCACAGGTCAGGCAAGCTAGACGGTTGTTCACATATGCCAACAACAAGGTGGAACCCAGACAGCTCCGCTGCAGGACCTCACTGTTAACGGGTTTCCACTCCTATTTGGCATTATCAGTACAAACACACGAGGCTCTGCCTTGATAAAGTCAGACAGCCATTTGATTAACTTGCAAATAACACCCTCTTGACGCAGTTTGCATATGAGCCGTCTGTGTGGAACCACGTCAGAGGCTTCGCTGGAATTAATGTAGACTGCATATACTGACAAACCCATTTCTAAAGATTAAGTCTAGCTTTCCATGGATGTGAGCAGGTTAATATGACAAGATCGACCTGTTATAAGTCCACATCGATGCCCATTAAGTCGCCTATTCTGCTGAATATGCATAATCAAGTTCGTCTCCAGTGGGTAGCCAGTTTAAGTCAGTTTATCAAGGGGACGAGGCTTTCGCCCTCGAGCTCTCTATTCATATCGATAAATAGAAACAGAATCAGAAATTACATCAGCAAATGCGGAAATTAAAAAGTTAGCGGTAAGTGTGAGCCAGGCGCAAACTGCCGCCGCTAAAAAAATCGGGATTATATGTACAGTAGGTTTCTCAGTAAATGAGCATCCAGTCTACACTTAAAGGATTCGACAGTTTCCGAAAGAACCACCGCATCAGGGAGTCCGTTCCATGCCCCACTGACCCTGTGAGAGAAGGCGAATGTGCCAGCTTCCTCTGCAGTTTGAAGGAATGACCACACAGACGGTCAGTCCCGGCCAATTGGAGGAATTCATCAAAGTCTAGGGCACACTCACGGCCTCTGACAATCCTGTATGCTTGAATGAGATCGCCGCGTAGTTGACTTTAATTTAGAGGAAACAGATTTAGTTCGGTCGGTCTGGTTTCGTAAGGCAGATGATGAAGATTCTTGACCATCTTCGTAGCCATCGCCTGTACTCTTTCCAGTCGTTAATAGTCTGTCTTCAACCACGGTCGCCAGACCTGGACGGCATTCTCTAAGTGAGACCGCACAAATGCCCCATAGCTTTTTCCGAACGGCTTTTTATCGATCTGCACCGATCCTCACTTCAACGCAAATAACACCCTTGTTGTAAATTGTAATGTTCCCACGAACTAACGAGTTATATCTCACGAGCCCCTAGCCTTAAATGCAGCAAGTAAATCGGAGCAGTGAATAATATAGAGGTTTTTGAACGTTAAGAAAACTGACAATAGAATACCACAGCAGAGCACGCTAGCTAGGCGGGTTGAGCAGGTGTGTCGTTTTCCGTCACATTCAAACAAGCAATGCGGTCAAAGAAAAAGGGACCAAGTTGTCAAAGGTCAATTAGTCAGGTACCTCACCACAGTACCCCCCTTCGAGACCGGAGGGCGACGAGATACGGCGCCGGAGGATATGCACAAGTCTAGAAAAAATGGGTAACTAAACGATCGGGAAAATGAACGTGACGGCCACTGCGAGTTATGTATGCAGGAGGTACAGTCGAAGAGGGTTGACTGCGTGCTGCGGTGCACGATGGTGTTGCAGTTGGATGCTGTTGACATGTAGGGAGAGGAAGTATGCGGGACGGACGGGTAAAGGGCAAGGGAGGGGAAGGGCAAGGCAGTGGGCAGGGTGAACGAGTAGGGGATAGGGAAGATGGAGGAACAGGGGTTAGGGGGTCAGCACATGTTTGTCCTTGTGACAGGTCCGGCGGCTCCTCCGCAACAGCAGCCTTGACCCGATCGACACTGACCACGTCCTCCTTGTCACTGCGAAGAATCCGGAAGGTTTTGGCGTTGCGCGCGAGCACACGGAACGGTCCTTCGTAAGGGGATTCCAGCGGCCGGCGCACACGGTCACACCGGACGAACACATGAGTACACTTGTCCAAGTCTTTTTCGACATAAGACTCAGTCATAGGAGTTCGAGGTGGAACCGGGGAAAGCGAGCGCATAAATTGCCGCAAACGGTGCACAAGATTGTCAGGAGTCTCGTCGGCTCCACGAGAGGTTGGGGTGATCATCTCGCCTGGCAGTCGGAGGGTAGTGCCGAAAACCAATTCAGCTGCGCTACAGCCCAGATCCGACTTCAGAGCTGCGCGGATGCCGAGGAGTGCAAGAGGAAGGTTGTCCGACCAGTTTCCTGGGTCTTCTACGGCACGCAGGGCGGTCTTTAGCTGGCGATGGAAACGTTCCACCATACCGTTGGCAGCGGGGTGGTAGGCTGTCGTCCGAATGCGTGTGCAGCCAAGGAAATTGAGTAGCGTTTGGAAGAGTGCCGACTCAAACTGGGCACCACGATCAGTCGTAACCGTGGATGGGGCACCGAACATGGCGACCCAACGACTGACGAAGGCCTTCACGATGGTTTCAGCCTGAACATTCGGCAAAGAAATAGCTTCAGCCCAGCGAGTATATCGATCGACACAGGTAAGTAGGTAGGTGAAACCATTGGATGGAGGCAAGGGGCCTACGACATCCAGGTGCACATGGCTGAACCGTGCGTCGGGACTGGGGAATGTGCCTGATGGGGACTTGTTGTGACGCTGCACCTTGTTGCGCTGGCAGCTCAGACACGACCGGGCCCAAGCTTTGACGTCCTTGTTCATGCCAGGCCAGACAAACCTTTCCGCGAGGAGCTTTTGAGAGGCTCGGATCCCAGGGTGGGAGAGTCCATGCAGAGTTTGAAATACAGCTCGACGCATCGAGGCGGGCACAAAAGGGCGATGAAAGGGAGTTGAGACGTCACAAAGTATGGTACCAGAGCCGGTGGTCAGAGGAACGTCTTTGAGTTG